TCCATGTAGCTACAGCATCGAATACATGATGTCTGCATCTGGGTACAGAATCTCACGTCTCTAATGAGCCAAGAAACCTGGGAGACAAACCCAGAAGTGCTGGGAAAGCCAATGCTGGGAGAAGGCATTCTGAATACTTACAATCCCACAATAAGGAAATTGGAATGATACTTCCCAAGAAGCAAATACCTGAGAAAATAATGATGAAAATGGACCTGGGAAAATTCTCGATCTAAATGACAAATGAATTAGTGGAATAGAATTTAAATTTCAAAGTCTGGCTTGTTGCAAAAGGACTGAGAATACTGGTGGGAGCTTGTAAGAAACACAAATTAATACCTTTTAAAATGACTTTTCTGATTCAAACGCTTTAAGTAATTGCTGCTTGATTGTGCTTGAAGAAACACACACACTATATACCTATATATAAAAGTTTGAAAGAAACTAGCATGTAAGTTAGAGCAGACATTACCTTGCCAGAATAATTTGCAATAAATTGCAGGAAGCTGCATATTAAATTTCTTTCTTAATGCCAATGAGGTAGCTGGAGGACCAGAGAAGCGGAGGGAAGATGGCCTTTACCACTGGTGTCTGAGACCTCCTCCCTCTCTCATATGCTTGGCATTCTCCTTACAGTTTTTTTAAAAATGAGCTTGCCTAGACAGTAACTTTGAGGGATGGTAAAGCATCGTTGGAAATAGAGTAAGAACTGTTCTTTTTAGGAAGATAAGAAGATTCAAAGCTCTGATCATGGGAGTAAGGGGTAACTCACAAAGGTTAACTTTAAGCATAGAATAGGTTTTGGGCTGTTTTTCTGTTGTTATTGCTTTTTCTACTGTAAATTCTCTTCAGTGATCGCAATTTTATTCTGGGTAATTTAATGATACTGAATATGTTTAAAAGCAAAAATAAGAAAACAAGGGTTTTGAGAGTACAGTTTACCATAAGTAAATCATTCATTTACCATCATAAATAAAATAATTATAGTAAATGTGCAATTCCCTCACCCCTTCTCAGATGGAATGGAATCATTTAGATTGGAAAAGAACTTTAAGATTATCAAGTCCAACCCTTAACTAACACTACCAAGTCCACCACTAAACCATGTCCCTAAGCACCACATCTACATGTATTTTAAATACCTCCAGGGATGGTGACTGAACCACTTCCCTGGGCAGACTCTTTCAATGTTTGATAACCCTTTCTGGGGATAAATTTTTCCTAATATCCAATCTAAACCTCCCCTGGTGAAACTTGACGCCATTTCCTCTTGTCCTATCACTTGTTACTTGGGAGACGACACCGACACTCACCTTGCTACAACCTCCTTTCAGGTAGTTGCAGAGAGCAATAAGGTCTCTCCTCAACCTCCTTTTCTCCATTCAAAACAACTCCAGTTCCCTCAGCTGCTCCTCATAAGACTTGTTCTCTAGACCCTTTACCAGCTTCATTGCTCTTCTTTGGACGTGCTCCAGCACCTCAATGTCCTCCTGTAGTCAGGGGCCCAAAACTGACCTCAGTATTCGGGGTGGGGCACCAGTGCCCAATACAGGGGGACGATCACTTCCCTACTCCTACTGGCCACACTAATGCAAGCCAGGATGCTATTGGCCTTCTTGGCCACCTGGGCACACTGCTGGCTCATATTCAGCTGCCTGTTGACCAATGCCCCCCGGTCCTTTTCTACCAGGCAGCTTTCCAGCCACTCTTCCCCAGTCCTGTAGTGTTGCATGGGGTTGTTGTGACCCAAGTGCAGGACCCGGCACTTGGCCGTGTTGAACCTCATGCCATTGGCCTCAGCCCATTGATTCAGCCTGTCCAGAGCTCTTTGTAGAGCCTTCCTGCCCTCAGGCAGATCAACACTTATACTAAAGCTAATCTTCTTAGCATCTCTGTATGTCAGCAGGGAGAGACAAACAAGCAATCCAGATAATTAAGCATAATTTAACCAGCCTGACTCATCCTCTGGGCGATCCTTCTTTCACTATCTTTTATAGTTTATACAGGGAGGTCAGCTTCATTCAGCTGCAGGCAGACTTTCAGAATATGCTTTCTTCTTTCTGTCTTTCAAAAAAATGAACTGTTTGCTTTAATAACTTCATAGATTTATGCCCTGAAGTAGAAGAAAAGTTTCTTGGTCAGCATCACACATGGAAGTTCAGAGGCATGTGATAAGTAAAACTAACAATAGTATTTTGAGATGCATTCTGATAAAGGATGACCTTAGTAGTGGTTTATATCTAGGAAAAAAAAATACCTAAAACTTCATGAACTTCATTCACAGTCATGTAAGTTGATGATCATAAAAAGTGTAGAAAGAAGACAATGAAGAATCTGCATTTTTTAAGATGTAAAGAAGAGCTTGTGAAAAATTAATGTCCCCTTCTCTTCCCTGTCCTTTCAGCTATGATAGTTTACCTATAGAAGATATTATCTCTACCTTCGAATCTGTCTCTGCTCCTCCAGAAGACATAGATGATTTGATTTCCCAATGGCTTAATGGAAAAAAGCACCAAATAGGAACTAAGGGATTCCTTGCACCAAAGCAAGAATGGCTTTTATGTCAAATTCAGTGGCTGCAACTGTTTAAACTGACAACTAAAATGAAAAAGTTATCATACTGGTAGCCTTTGATACATTTTTATTGTGTATTTGGTGTAAGTGCAAATGAAACTCTTCGCTCCACCTACAACTTAAGCACCAAGAACCACCAAACCAAGGGTACTCTCTCAATTCTTTCCAGGGTGTTGAGTCTGTTTTTTCTCTAATTTTTCAAGTGCCTGGATTCTGACCTACTCAAGCCAGGAGTTGTATTCCAGAGTTAGTCGCTTTGACCTTTATGCATTCCTTTATGAAAAACTTTCTGTAATAAGCTCTTGTTTGCCATCTCCTGAATGGGAACTGAGACCTTTGAAATCGATTTCAGACAGCAGGCCTGCTAGTCAGAGATAAGTATCTTGTTCTGCCACACTGCACAATGCTTCAAACCAATTCCTTGTCCATTTCTGAAAGATTTCCCTCAATTGAAACAGAAAAATAACAGTAAATACTTTTCTAAGCTACAGATTTTCTCAGTGAACATTATTTCATTACAGTTAGCCACTACCGATGGGTGGGAATTAAATATATACTGAATGTGGAACTGTTTTATTTACTATACTTTTGAACAACATAATCCAATCTCAGGTGGGAGAAATATTTATCTCTATAGGTATCTGTATCTATACAAATATTTAAACAACTGTTTAACAGCTTCCTCTTGCAACTCATGGCAAAAGGGAGCATTTTCCCAAGAAGTACAGACCTTAAAAGAGAACATGATGTTAAGCTGTAAAGTTAGAAGGATATATACTGTTCTGTTTTATACTAATTTTACAGAAGTGTATTCCTGTTAACTTCAGTGCAGGTACTTCCCCTTTCATAAGTTTAAGCAAGTTTGGAATCAAACCACAAACCTTTAATGAGGTTTTAATGATCCACTTGGGGGAGCTAAAGGGTAATTTGTTTCTGAATTGATTATGGCAAAATGTTTGGGATGCAAAATTAAGTTACAGAAAACAATGTGAGCAGAGACTTCCACTTTTTTCAACTCAGTGCTAGTTGTTAATCTATATTAGCTTCTGGAGCAAAGGGTCCCCAGTTCTTATTAAAATTCCAGCCGCTTATAGAAAAAAGACTCACAGTCATTAATAGTTTTGCAGCAGACACCCACAATAGCATCAAACATATCCTGACTTCAATTATACACCTACAACATACACTGAAGGCAACAGACGCAACACGTAAGGCAGAATTTGGTCCTTACTATTACTCTACATTTTTGTACTAGTTAATATTACCTGTAACATGACAGCAAGAAGAGAAATTCTAACATGCAATGGTTTTGTCTTTTAGTTAATAATAAATGCCTCCTTTTCTTTTTCTTCTTCTTTTTTTTTTTTTTCCTTTTCTTCAGACGCTGATCTTGCGCTATGCCTGCTTGTGCTTCATGCACCAGTTACTGTGTTGAATCATGGCTTTGCACCATCATTATGTTCTCCATTTCTTCAGCCTGGGATGGACTGGGAACTGTTTCCCAGTATGAAGCAATATCAGCTGCTCTAATTTATGCTTGATTGCCTATGGTTACTGGTAGCCCTTTGACTGCTCTATGAGTTAGGCACTAATTAGAGGCACAGATGCAGTATCTCCTACGTTGGAAGGAAGAGCACAGCCTCTTGTCTGTGAAGAGCCCATAAAATATAACATCGGGATTTTCTCCATGTAGGGATTGCCCTAAAGTTCAGATAAACTGACAATACAGTTGATTTCAAAAGCCACAGTAGATCCAAAGCTACAATCATCTATCTTTTATAAAAGGAAACAACTCCGTTTCAGACACATAACTTACATGAAAATTCCATTGGCAAAGCTGTACTGTCAATGTCTTCACTGTAACAGTACAAAATTCATCTAATTCCAAATTACTCTGCGGTGCAGTCCACATTAAAGTTTATGGTTGCCCATATGTGGGCATCTAATTTAACAGACTCATGTAAATAAAGTTTCAACCAAAAGTGACAATTAAATAAAATATTTTGTTCCTTTAGCATAACTTATTAACTGTATATAAGGTTTCCTTATTTTATATTTAATTTAGCCAGAGCATGTGGAAAAAGTAAACTGTAAGTATCTTTACAAGGTGTACTATTGTTAGGCACTTTAAAACCAAAGACATGCTTCGTAGCTATAAACTACCAAAATATATTTTTAAATGTCATTCAGCATCCTGAAGCGGTGACACAATCACGCCGATTAAATACCATGCTAAAGACAATGGCACAGCAAACGAAAGGAAAGGGTACAGTCAACCCAGGTATAGGCAGGAAAGCTGTAATCATTAACAGTACTTGATGACAGTATTTCTAGTGCAATTTGCTTTTGTGCTCTCTCTTTGGTATGTAAGGGCAAGCACTATAATGTATTTAGGAGAAACTACTGCTATAAATTGCTCAACTTACATTAATTAATTCAATCTCCCAGATTTTTTTCACAAGGTCCATCGATGTATAGCCATTAATTAGAAAGGATTTGGTATAGTCACCCAGTTCAATGGAATCCAGCCATTCAGCTACAGAGGTGGGGTTGTAGCCATCGTGACCGATCTGCTTCATCTGAAAAACAAGAATGAGAAAGAATTACTGATAATATTCATTGAACACCTTTCAGAACAGCAGTTATTTATATTATTTTCTTTGGGTCAGAATTATCTTATTCTCCGATCAACATTCTTTTAATGTTTAGTACAACTTGAAACAATTTTGTGAGCAAAAGCACTAAAAAAACATAGTTTTCAATGGATCTTTTTCTTATGTCTGCTTGCTTTTTAAACCGGCGTATACAGCATGACTTCAATTGTTACTAGGCATCAGAGAATCCATAAGTGAGGGAAGGCAAAAGAGTGAGAAAGAGACATTATTAATATCCTGACTGCACAAAAATGTCAGATTTGCACCTACGATTTCATAGAAGGGGAAGAAATTGGACTGAGGAATGGATCTTTTGGTATCAAACTGCAAGCGAAACATATTGCCTTGGTTATATTATTCCAAACATATCTCTCCTAGTAGGTTACCTGATATTTTATAATGGCTGAAGCTGCACTATATTTTTCTGCCCCCAGTGGAGGCTTAAAGAAGTCTCTTTCCTCCACCTGGTCACATTTTTCAAGGAACTCCTGGGAATTTAATATATTTTAGACTCTTCTCTGTCTGTAAAGTTGCTTGAGATTGGACAATCAAACCAAATATTATTGGAGTGGAATTGACAGAAGAATGTACACAGAAGCTCACCACCTGCATTCATATAGCAACACAGGCACAGAAAGCCTAACCACATAAATCTTGTTTTCATAACAAACTAAGAAACACCCCTGGAAACTTATTTTTCCGAATTTTGTTAAGCTACTAAGAAGTAAAGAGCGGCAATTTCTCTTTCACAATTGCCTCTCAGTGATACAAGTGAAGACTTTCAAGCTAGCCATTAAACATAAAAATTTATAAAGCCTCTATCTGTGTAGCTTGTTACACCATACTGTTTTTATGAATTTTAAAGTAATTTGCAGTAGTGGCAGGAGTAGAGCTATAATGAAGTAGAAAAAAAATATGCCATAGCCTCCATTTTCAACAGCATTGTATGTGTATCATCTTTCTACAGAAGTGTAACTGTTGCTAACTTGATAATACACTGAACTGGTAGACTGTTAAGAAGATTTAGAGGTTTAGAAACCTTGTGTTTTGCATAGGATCTCCCAACTGTGCGAGTGACATTGCGCATAGTGAAAGCCAGTATCCCATTTCTGCCTACATTCCTACTTTCTGAGAAACAAGGGAAGTGTGACAGAAACATAATGCTTTGAGCATAAGTCTGAAGTGAGTGACAAAGTAATTTAAAAAGGAGAGAATTCTGATCTTAATATCTTGCCTGAACCAATTTATTTTTCTCAGTTTATTTGCAATACAATTTGAATTCAAAGCGGAGAAAAAAAATAAAGTCTGAATTTGAAAGATGCAGTAGTGTTTGCTGATCTGTCTGTTCAAACGCAGAAAGCCAGCGTGGCATGATCTCCATCTCGGTTTCCTGCAGTATCAGAGAGAAGTGATGCAGGAACACTGCATCGTTGATATGACAGTTTGCTCTTTGGTCTTTTTCTGCAAATGTTGGATATGAAATATTAATGGAAATATGTAAATGATATAGTGAAATCATTATCTTAAATCACAAAAGACAGACAAGAAAAATCACATAATTAACAATAGCAATCGTAGCCTTTCAGGTCACTTCTGTAACAAAGGAGTCACATTAGAAAATAAGAATTCAGTTTTGTTGTTGAACTTGACATTTGGGAATTTAGTTTCATCCTAATTTAAAATGAAATTCTTAGTGTTAAATGCATGGCAAATTCTTCTTTCATTGTCATTCAGATTTACTTCAAATCTTAGACTGACAGTAGCCTGTCCAGCAGACTGCAAAAATGTTGGAGGACTCTGGTAGCTTTGGCTCCTGGGAAGCTTATTTCAAGAGCTGATTTGAAATGAGGTATGCTTAAACAACTGACACTTGAAAAGAAAGCACCTGATAAACTGTAGAAGAAAAATCTAATACAGAGGAGACAGGAAGATGTACAGGGCCCACAGGGAACACACAACTTTTGAAAGATCTAATGTATTTTTGTTTTCTTTCTTTAACAAAGAGCAGCAAAGCACCTTCGAAACAATTTTCAATGTACCCATATGGGGCATGTTAAGCAAATTATTTCTTTTGTTTATTACTATTTGATCTTCATGTTTAATAAGTCCCAATTTTAACATGATTTTTTTTTTTTTTTTGACCTGCTGATTGAAAAATCTCATGCAGTCTGGTCCACAATTCTGGTAACCCATCAGCCTCTATAAAAAGCAAACACAGCATGGGAAGTTTCTGAAATCTCAATTCCCACTGGAGACCTCTGTCAGAAGGGTTGTTAAAATAGATATCAGTCTCCTATGGTGCATTGCAAAGGGCTGCAGGCAAGCAAACGCAGGCGAACAATCCAATAAGCAAATGACCAGGAACAACTGAGATGTATGTGACAATTTCACTCTTTGGATTTGGTGCCAAGAGACAGAATTGTCATCGGGTCACTCAACAGCCTACACAAAAATACACTGGCCCATTGTCAGGCTTGCTCTGCAAGCATTTTCCCTTTCCCTGCCCCAGAGATTTGGTTGCCTGTGTTCAAGGCCATATGGGAGATGGTGCAGCTGCGTAGCCTTGGGTCAGACCTGTGTGAGAAAGAGCAGTGAGAATCCTGGTCGGGGCCACCGCACCTTCTGCAGGAGCTGCGTGAGAGCTCAAGTCCATGTCCCTGATGGTCGCCCGAGCTACTCCATGCGTATGTCTGTGCCCATCTTGCTGATCCTCACCCACCGACTCGCCCTCCTGAATAGACCTGGTCCCATCCTCCCCCTTATGGATTTGCCCCAGGATGTGGCTGTCTGTGGTCACTGCCACCAGCCCTTGTGCGAGTGGTCCACTGTCCGTCTATCCCCCCCCACCTTCCAGCCCACCTGCACTGGCGTGGCAACACCCTCCTGCTGCTGCTATCGCAGAAAATTAATCTCAGAACTAGAATATTTGCCAGCAGTTTCAGCACAAAAGCAGTATTTTGTTTCGTCATGAACCAAGTACCAATCTCTTATCTAAAAGAGATTTTCTAAAATGTATCTAATATATGAAAATTAATAAACTTCCAGTATCCGTCCCCTTGTATGGCAGGTTTTGTTCTGTCTGTTAATAACATCAACTAGCTTATTAACTGTCATTCATAGCTGGCTGAATGTTTTCCTTTCAAATATTTATCGACAGACAGATTGGTTATCTAGACGTGACAGTACCATTAATAGTATCCGCTTTTCATATAAAATGTTATGGAGTTTTTAAATAAAAAAAACCCAAAGCCACTTTGAAATATCTGCCTGGAAGTGCTGCCCCTTAACTTTATTTGAGCTCCAGTTTAGTTGCATCTTATCCCAGTCCTCATCAATAGGTCACGGCTCTTGGACTGTTTGTATTTTTTTTTTCTATAGTGCACCACGATCTTAGACTCTTCTCACAGATCATTTACACCCTGTAGGCTTTCTTGCTGATGCTATTTGCTGATTGATTTTTTTTTTGAAAGAAAGAATCCTCCTGTCTACTGACTGTATTTCCATGTATAATATTTCAATCATTTTGCACCAGCTACAACACACGCACCAGCGGTGTCAAACATCTAAGCAGCTATGTGCACACTGACTCAGAGCAGTACAAAATCTCTAAGCTTCAAGATATGACAGCCTTTCAGATATTAACTGCTCATAAATAGGGGCAGTATTGTTCTTCCGCAGACACTGCTACTAGTTCATTCGGTTGTTATCTTTAAAGAACAATATCGGTATGAGCTGTTCCATTGCAGATGATTTTAGCATGCCGACTATGGAGAAGGCTAGGAATGAAGCCCATAGATTTTAGAGAAAAAGAAATGTTTAAGAAAATATGATATAAATGAACCATAGAAGAAAACACAAAGCATGGGAGACTCCTCTCCTTGGTCCTATTTATCTATCACTAGTATCGCTTCCTTTGAAATGAATGGAAAGCAGAAGCCAGAAAGAGCTGTTTCTCGTAATAAAATAGTAATGTCAAGTAGCACCCCAATGGGTTGAGAAATCCTTTACAAGAAACCATCTGTACATCAGTCTCTTTACAGGTGCATCACTACTATATCTATATAGTATTTTACATTAGGATAGGACGTACTTGAGTTTTTGTCTCTGAAAGGTAGCCAAATAAACACAAACGGAGCTTCAAAGTAATCACATATGCACCAGAAGCATCAAGGTGAATTCGGTAACATGGACTATTACCAGTTTTCTCTGATGTTCTCAGACAGATGGGGAACGAATGCTATTTTCTCCACAGGTAATATCACTAGGATCTGGTGGATCTCAACACTGCTTGTATTAAAATCAAGCTTTTTATCTGTTGTATAAGGAGAAAGAGATGACTTGACTTTTACAGCTTTTTAAATGATGGCTACGATTACAGTGAATTTACACTTTTGTTGGTTTGCAAGAAAAATCTTTTTAGCAAGCCCAGAATGCTTTCTTTTAAACTGCTGGCCCATCTGAGAGATTTAAGCAGCACTTTCAGGAACTTGTATGAAACTACCAACTACCAATTTGGATGATTGTAATAGGGGAACTATCAGTTCTTTTTTTCCCCCTGTCTTTGTGACTTGTCTGTTATATATTATGTACTTTACAAATGTGATCAGTTGGACTCATGTTGTTGGAAGAGGAGATGATTCCTCCTCTGGAGCAGTGAAAGAAAAGGCTCAGGAGAGTGAGGCGTCCGAAGCCCACAGGGTCTGGCTGGCACAGGGGCACCACAGGGAGCTGCTGCCTTTGGTGTCCGTGCAGAGAATGAGGCTGCGGACAGGGGCAGAGATACAGCTCTCATGGGGGACGGGCACAGCTCCCTAAGGACCTGAGAAGACTTTGCATTTGCTGCTGTTGAGAAAGCCACTGAGTGAAAACAGGGATCTGCCTGCAAAGACACAGTGGGTGAGGAAGAGCTGTATATAAACCTTTTG